GCGGCACCCACGGTGTGGGACGGAGAGATTTCGCAGGTCTTTTCTCCCCACTGCTGTCAGACTCCATAATAAAGACTTTAACTGATCAAGCACACACATCCATACATATGCAATAATACTAAGTGCAATAATCCTTTCTGTCATCGTTGTATTTTTACTCAGTTGTATATAGTATTTGTATTTGTATTCTATTTTTATCTTATTGTATATTTATTTTATTTTATTCTACTGTATATAGTATTTTATTTTATTCTATTCTGTACAGTTGTGTACTGTATTTATTCTTATTGTATTTTAATTTTTGCCTCATAACTTTTGCACTGTCCACTTCCTGCTGTGACAAAACAAATTTCCCACGTGTGGGACTAATAAAGGTTATCTTATCTTATCTTATCTGTTGCAAAAGCCATGGCATTAATATAACTATTCTCCATGTGTGATGCAGGCAGTTTTTCATGCGTTTAGTTGCATCGCTTTACTTAGAGTCACTTTGCACTGTAGCTTCCATCTTTAAGTATGTCTGGTCCCAGTAATTCTCTTTTACGTGTTCACAAAATTGCCATAGCGCTCCTGTTCTTGCCCTCTGGCATGTTGGTAACCAAGCAGTTAAAAGCATCTGCACGCTGCCGTAATTCACTCTAAGTAAAGACTGTCACCAAACGGCTAAAATACAACAAGAGAAGTGTTTGGAAAAGAGTTTTACAGCTTCAAAAGGTGAGCTTCTCCAGCAGCCTCTCTCCATTTCCTTTCCAGCTGCGCCAACACCTTCAGCCTCTGGACACGGTCCCGCATGTTTCTCTCACTATTATCCGACGATTTACAGCCAAGATAGAGGGGAGCTGAAGTTTGTTGACATTCCCCGCCCCCGTGCAACCTCAAATACGACACTGACCCCCTTTTCCAACCTCATAAACGGCTCACTCCGTTGAAAGCGTCACCGTGACGAGGAGAGAAATATGAAACAAGTGGGAGCGCTGGCAAATCAGGCTTAGACCGCTTTGAGCGAGAAAACTTGTGAGGTGCGTGCACGCACTGTGAAAGTGTGTCAGCCTGTGTAAAGTAAACAAGGACAACACCATATTATCTTGTAAACTGTTGGCATGCAGTGCTATGACCTAAAAAACAAATCCAATTTGGGGATTTGCTCCCCCCCCTTCCAACACTAAGACTTATCAATAAAAGCCCTTACAAAGGAAAAAATTTGCAAGCCAAGAAGCTTTCTGTACAGAGGCAATATTTTAAGCCAGTTTTGACTGGAAAACAGGCAGTTTAAATGCAAAAAAAAAACCCCAACCCAGAAGTTTTCGCACCTTTTTGAACTCAAATGGAGCAAGTTCATCTGTTTAGAAACCACAAAAATGCTCCAGCTCTAATGACATCACTTAACAGTCAGCGAGGGTGTCTGGGCAATGCTTTGTCTCCAGGCAAAACAGTCAGCTCATGCAATAGACCATTGATAGCTAGCAAATAAAAGCCTTTTATTGGTTATAAATTGTGTCAGACCATTAAACTTTATATTTTTCCCGAGTGACATTGCTCTAACTTGAGCCAACGGGGAGACAGAGGAGGATAGAAAAAGAAAAAAAGACATCTGATAATCCAATTGTTCTGCATTTCCAACTTGTTAACATCCAAAGCATGAGACTTCAGTTGGAATTAAATGTGTTGTGGCTGCATGCATCCAAAAAAATAGCTGCGTCGCAAAATGTCAGGATTCTTTACCAAGCTTTTTTTTTTTTTCAGATGATGTATTGGCAAAAACAGGTTTGTATTAGCCTGACGGAGCTCTGCATACTGTTTTTAGGGATCCTATGTGCAGTTTGAGGGGGATAGGGGGGGAGGAATGCATTCAAAGCAGCCTTAATTGAGCTGGATGGCCTGCAGTCACAGAAGCAGAGTGTCTCAACAAGACTCAAGCGGGCGAGATCCTGAAATGTGCCTCACACGTATACATCATTAAACTGGCTTACGGCTCCACGGTGCCGATCAGCGCTGCAAAGACTCTGGGAATTATATGGGAAAGTTTGTCTGGAAGGAGCCCTCAACCCCCTCCCTCCTTCAAAATGAAAGTCCTCTGGCTGTCAATGAAGGGGAAGTGCTCCCATGCTGAGGCCCACTGGGCCAGCCATTGAACAGAGGGACATTCCTCAGTAATTCTGTTTGACCTGAGCCCAGAGTGGTAGCTGAGGGTCACCGAATACAGAGCGCCACATACGGGGAGGAGACCAAAGGGGAGGAGGAAAAGTTGGGGAAATCGGATGCACAGGAGTGAGAGTGAGACAGACTGGTGGAAAGAAAATACAGTCGTCTTTTCCCAGCCTTTGTTTGACAAGTAAACACTCAGGTTATGTCATCTGTCAAGACTGTCCTCCAACAGCAATCCCGTAGGCTGTTTCATAAGCTGTCAACGTGACCTGAAAATGTGTTCAAGATGCAAACAACCTCTGGTGGTGCTGCGAAGAAGTGCCAGGTCAAAGTGGTCAAAAGTGCTTGGTATGAAAGCTGCTGGACTTCTTTGAGGTTCTTGAAGATTTTGAGGAATCCAGATATTTGACCTGCAGCTGAAGGCTGTTGTAGTAGATGCATCAAGTTCAGATAAGCAACAAATACTTTATTTTAACCCAAACCATCATTTTCTTCTATGAATAACCTATAATAGCCTCTGAAAACACCCCAAACTGAAAAATGGGCCCACACAGGACTCAAGACTCAGTTTCCTGGTTAAAAGTTGTCTGTTTTTGGCATCTGTGGTACACTCTGTTGATCTGTTTACAGAAATCAAATAAATTCTGCCCACATGTGAAGCTGTAAAGGTGCATCAGTCCTTTTCAATCTGCTAGCAAAAACTGGAAAACAGCCCAAAATCGGCAGTGTGGTGGGACTACTGCTGCACTACAAACAGGGCAAAGAAACCATAGATTTTTTTCGCAGCTAACTATGCAAATAATCCTCAAATATAGCAAACTCTAACACGCTTGTCCAGCATATTGTAGGGTTGACTGTTTTCCCCTTCAGTGGGGATGGTTGTCACGTTCCAGGAAGGCTTATGTGGGTCGTTTAGGCTCAGCATCCAGCATCCAAACCACTGCAGCACTCACTGTTTACTCCAACCAACGAACTTATGGCAAAACTTCCACCAGCACGTGATGAACTCCTTTTGACCGTTAAATCAAAGCTGGCTAAATGTAGGACACACGATGCAGTAATGAAGTAAGTGTGTCATAAAAGAGTGTGGCACCGGGGGCAAACGGGGGGCGGATGATAATAATGGTTGCACTGTGGCATGGCTGGGATGGAGAGAATTACAGTTTTAATTCTATAAAATCAAATCCCTCCACTTGGCAATCCTCTTATCCAGTAATCCCCAGGTAGGTTTCAGAGAGGGCAACAGGCTCAAACTGCCCACTGTGGCAACACATCTGCCTCCCCCGTGGTCGGTGGGGTTGATATCAATGACTGCTCCTGTGCTCCCCGATAAACGCTCTAAACTGAAACCAGACCAAACAGCTGACACATGTCCACCCTCAATTTGTCTCCGTTTCCATCCCTTCCAATAACTTCTTCTTGGTGGCCTTCTGAGAACCAGCCAGCAGCAGGATTTAGGGGTAAATAAATCAAGGTTGGTTCGCGTAGGTGCTTCTGACGTCTGCAATACTGGTGCTACCTTTTTTGCGGTGGAAACTGGGCGTCAGGAACGTGCTGGTGCAAAAGAAATCATAAACAAATAGCAGATAACATGGTGTGTGTGTGTGTGTGTGTGTGTGTGTGTGTGTGTGTGTGTGTGTGTGTGTGTGTGTGTGTGTGTGTGTGTGTGTGTGTGTGTCGGGGGGATCAGTGTCAAGTATGAAGCTGAGTTTTTAGGGCTTTGTTTGGCCGCTCGCTGCTGAATACCTCAGTATATACCTAAGTGCCTCATATACTGGGGTACTGCTGCAACCGTAATGTGCTTTAAGTTAACACCTTTTAATCTGCTGTTTGTTACCCTTCACATAGATTGCCTACATTCATTGGCATTCCCAGCTGTAAAGCATCCACTCCATGCCAGATGCTATTTTTTGCTCTTGTGATGGGAAGCACCAGTTCCCAGGGCAAAAAAAAAGCTCTCTTTAACTCAAAAAAAGACAGAATGGCATTTCTCTCTGGCGCTTTGACAACACCAGCAAGAGAGTGATGATACCTCCCATGCTCTCCCATGCTCTCATTTCTCTATTCCCCAGCAGTTCTGTTTATAGAGATAACAAAGTCAGCCCAAAAACATAAAGCCGCCCCGGCATCCCTGCGATGGCTGCAGGCACCAAGCACTGAGCATCTATCTGTCTGCTGCAAATTAGGCTGCCTATAAGGGAAGACCCCCCCCCCCCACTGACCTGCCGTGACTTTGACACTGCAGGTCTTAACGCTACATCACTGGGAAAGACTATATATACATAATATTCCATATTATTGTCCACCACCTCAACCAGTTCAGCTCATTTCAGTGTGGGATTAGTGGGCTGGATAGGAAATCTTAATCTGCCTGAGCAAGCGAGACAGAGAGAGTGAGTGTATAAGGAAAGAATTGAAGCCTATGCATTCCTGCACATACAAATCCCTGCAAAGCCGGGCTTCTTTAACCTCCACTTTGTCTGTTTCCTGGTGTTATCAGTCAGAAACAAAGTGGGTTGTTTTTTCTATGCAGCACCCCTGACCCCATGCTGTTGCCACTAGCAATAGAACATGCGATTCCCCTCGCAAATCAGTGCAAATCGCACATGTGTGCAGTCCTTCTATATGAAACATGTCCCCCTCTGGGGCATTACTTGGAAATATTGCAGCTCGGGACAAAGTAAGGAAGCCTAAACGAGGTAACAGTGAACCTGCCGGCATGCATGTGATGCACATCTTAAATCCCCAAACAAGCCAAGCGTACTTCAGTCACAATCAAATCTTACAAGAAAACAAGGTTTCTTTCTTTCTTTTTTTGCCATGTCATGAGCGGCTGACGCCGGCTCGCTCCTTACCCTCGTGGAGACGCAGCATCCTGGTGCATTCAGAGGACACGCATGGTAATCCACTGGCACGCTTTCCTCCTGCTCCGCAGCTGCTGTCCGACTGATCCCGCAGATGACAAAGTTTACATCCACAAACAGAGCGCTGCCGGCTCTGCCCCGGACTGCCTTTCCCTCTTCCTCGCTCTCAAAGTCCTTGCTTCCCACCCCCCACCCCCTCCTTTTTCCCCTACTCTGCTGCCTCCCTCACTCTGCCGGCGTGCACCGACTTCTCCCGATACACCGCTTTCCCTTCTCCCTTCCTGCTACATGCACGCTTCCCTCAGCGCTCCGAGGCTCCTCTTTACACACACGCACAAACACACCGAGTGTTTTGTGCCTCCGATCTGCCGCCCACCACCCCACCTCCCGGCTTTATCTTTCCTCCGAATATTTCTCTCCTCAGTCTGTCTCCGCTTCTATCTCTTTCTCTCTCATGCTGTCTGTCTCTGAGCCTCCCTCTCCCTCTCTCTCTGTGACTGCCTCCCTCCTCCTCTTCCTCGGGCTTACAGGACGTTTAACATGTGTTCAGGGAGACGGCTGCTCTGCTGCCTCTCTGAAGGTGGATCTTTCCTCAGGGGGGAAAGAGAGGGCCGGGAGGCTGGGGTGGGGGTTTGCATGGAGAAGGAGGAGTTGTTTTTTTTTTAGGAGGTGGGGGGTGACAACAGCGTTGTAGGCTGGGGGGGGGGGGGGGGGGGGGTGCAAATCTTTACCTCAAACAAGGGGACATGAACAGGCAAGCAGCAGCCGGCTTGTAATGTTCCACTAAGTGGACTCCTTTCAGAGCAGGGGGGGGGGGGGGGGGGAAACAGAAGAGCTCACACATGCAAAAATGTGGTAAAGTTGCAACTTTCAGGTAGTCACTCTGTCTCCCTGCACACCTGGTCGATCCTTTCCTGAGGCTGGCACCCTTGTTTGATCATACAGAAAGTTGCAAAAATGGGAAAATAGTCAAATTGGGAGCTCTGTGGGGAGATCGGGGAGGGGGGGGGGGGGGGGGGGGGTGTCAGTCCCCATTAAATGATCTGACAACCACCTACTCTGAGGCCTAAGCCGGCCAAATTGAGCCCTTGTACAAAAAAAAAAGAGAGAGAAATGTGGACGGGGAAAACACCGCAACACAAAGAGACAAGCGTGCTGACAAAAGACAGATAGAGACAACCGAGGAAGAGATCAAGAGCAAGGAGGAGAGCGAAAAGACGAAAAGTGAAGGAGAAGGCGAGGAGGAGAAAAAAAAGGAAAAAGAAAGCAGTGCTTGGGTCTGCTGGGCCGAGTGACTCCGGCCCATCTGCCACAATCACAATCAGTCCCAGCTGAATGGCTGTGACTAACTGCAGCATGAAGCCCGCAGCCTCAACCCAGGCAGGATGGAGATGAGAAGGGGGGGGGGGGATGAAGAGGCAAAAGTGGGGAAGAAGAGGAGGGTGATGGGGGGGTTCTATTGTCTACTCCCCAATAGGACCAGTGCAGGAGGAGGCGGGCACCGGATGGGTGAAAAGGGGAGAATTAAAAGGGTCCCGGTGACAGGAGTGCTCAGTTAAAGAGGGTAAAGAAAGGACAGGGGAAACTTAGAGCTGGGGCCATCGCTGCCACTGTGCTCTACAGCCACTGTCAGTGATGTCCTCAGCAAACAATCACGTGAAACAAAATGAGTCTGCAGGAGGCTGATGGAGCGGCTTGCTCACGTCAAGATAAGGGAAGGTAAATAAACCGCCCCAAAAAAGTGACACTCATTATCAGATGTCTCCTAAAGCCGGCAGCGACATTGTCATTTGTCATCATAAAACTCTGAGAGATTCATGATGACCAATGATTGCGCTCGTGACCAAAGTGTCACGCAGAGCGGGGTAATTGTGTTTATCATAAGCGCAGCTGTCTCGTGAGGGGAAATCTGAATGTGGAGCGAGCGAGATTTGATTTTACGAGCAGGTGGTCACCAATTACACACCATTGTCCCATTTGGGTTAAAAAAAATAAAGACAGATGAATGAATGGCTGAGTCAGCATTAACACAAGGACACGCACAGTAATCAAGAAATATCGGCTTTAATTTGATCGACGGGGAGCGCGGAAACAGCGAGTAGCGCTGTGCAGTGCAACAGATGTGAGGCTCACTGTGTTTTTTTCCTGCAGGAAATAAGCGATGCTTGTTTGCTTAGCTTTGTTTATTTCCATTTAACTACATAATGATGGTACCATAAGTGCATATCTGCATGATTGTGTGTGTGTGTGTGTGTGTGTGTGTGTGTGTGTGTGTGTGTGTGTGTGTGTGTGTGCGCGCGTGCATGGGCTGACAACTGTAATTGCATAATGAATGGGTTTGTGAAAGCATGTGAAGTTAAAGTCCGTACATTTTAGGTATACACTGGTGGATGTGCACGGGTGCATATTTGTCTTCAGCTGCCCCTCATATCTTTATATTTTGCTTCCAAGCTAGACCTTCTTCACTCCTCTTGAGCAAAACGTCTCCAAGTTTCTTCTTCTTGTTTCTTCTGGTTTGTTTGGACATTGGTTTCTTTTTCACTGATTTTTAGTCCAGTCCTTGTACCGAAGCATTTTTTGTTAAGCCACGTAACACTGACCTATGAATCATCAAAAGAAACATAACTGAAGGGATGAACAAGTGCTGTGACAACACATAAAAGACAACTCAGCAACGAACTGGTTTTAAATGGTATCTTTAGCCACTTTGTTTCTGGCAACCTGTCACAGAAACACATCATTTTCTTTTCATTTCTAAAGATGAATCAGCTGATCATCTACTGAAGCCTCATCAGAAATTGTCTCAGTGGAAGGAAGGAAGCTGCCTAAAAGAGTTCAGACTGTGCTGAAGAATAAAGGTGGTCACACCAAATACTGACTTTTGAGCTTGTTAGAATTGTACAATCTCTGTTTTTTTTGCCTTTAGTGTGTGTTTACATGTATGTTTGCACATATTTCAGTAAATCACTGCATCTATTTCCCATTTACAAAGCAAAATATCAAGAAACATGGGGTGATTCAAGACTTTTGCACACTACTATATAGACTACAGTCTGACTGTACACGTGCACAACGTCTGGGACTGAAAAATGAAGCCATGTCTGAAAGAGTCAATCCCTGTAGACCACCCTTACTGTAAGCACATATTTATAGCCCAGCACAACAAAACCCTTTTCCCCGCCATTATTAGTGCTGAAAGTTGTGTGTGGCATAATGACAGGTGATTCTAGCTAGCCAGGCCTATAGAAGTCTTTCCACTTGTTACCGAACTGGATGTCGTGACTGCATTTGTGCTGTTAGAGCCCTTTGGACTCTTATTAATGCAATAACAACTCTACTGACAGCCTAAGAATTCTTCGTGCCAGTGTTGCTGGGTGAAATTCTTTTCTTTTATCTGTATGATACTCAGCACTAATTAGCAGCTATCTGCGTCTGTGCTATGCACTTATGCACCCTGCTAACCAAGCCTGTGAGCATGAGCTGAAATCGTCACTTCACTAATTAATATGTAAAGTCAGGGTGGCAACTCCCATCCTTTATTTACAGTTTATTGTGTGAGTGTCTTCATGCAATACGTGCAAAATATAATCCATACGTTGTCACAGTGATAATTAAGTCCACTAACACCATTGTGTAAGTGTGTGCGCATGATGTTTGCAAAATTCATATGCGTATATGAACGTGCACGTGTGTGTGTGTGTGCTGAGTGATCTGCTGAGCTCATTAAGGCGCCGCTTATTGCTCTGCCAGGGGTGTCAGTGACAGATTCCACTGTTTGGAAACACTCGGCCGCCCACACAGCCAGCCTGGCTCCACCACTGTCACACACACACACACACACTCGGACTAGGTTAGCATTCCACAGGGAGGAGGGGGTACAGGGAAGGAGACAGGCCGGTGCTGGGACAGTGACCGGAGGGCCGGTGGGTCAATATGGATTTGTAATAGGGTGCAGGGTGGTCTGAGGTATGCTGGCTGTGGCTGCATGTAGCGTGAGTGTCAGCACCTCTGAGGTCCTTTCGGGTTAGAAGGACGCTGGTGCTCGTAGTAGTAGTATGTGTGCAGCGGTTGAAGAAGTATTTAGGACGCTTACTGAAGTGAAAGTAGCAATTCAGCCATGCAAAAATACTCTATTACAAGTCTGTCACGATGTGTAAACTGCATTTTTGCAAGTGAGTTCAAAACAAATTTCCCATTTGGAGAGTTCATGCTGGAATCAAAGCTTTCAGTAACCTTGTTAAATGGATTTATCTGGCACAAATTAAAGTTTTTGGCTCAATTTACCACCCAAAAAAAATTATTTAAAATGAGACAACAGCGAGCACCGACTCCTGGACTGGCCTGTAAAATATAAACACATCACGTAAAACGAACGCACAGCTTGCTTTGCCGTCGAACTGGATATGCCTCGCATTTCATCAGAGCGATATCTCGAGAGAGCTAGAGAGGGCTTGAAAGTGCTCATTATGAAGAACAGTTCCTTCCAGTGTTAAATAATTGATGCATTACTTTGTGGGCAGCATGATAATGCTGACCCAGATGGAGCTAAATACAACAGATAGTTTTTAAAGCACTGCAGCTGGCAATATTTCAACTGTAGTGAAGTGTAGGTGCACTCAGGTGTAGTACATGGCCCTGAAATGTTTAGAAAAGTAAGAGTAAGTGCACCACACGAACGCACAAACATCCTGTCGGCCCGCTGCTCTGGCGGTCAGCCACACTTTCCCTCCGTGACATTAATCCCCTGCAGCTTGATCACAGATGAGCGACCAGGGGCGACCGGCGTGCGTCACTTGAGGTCATTACCAGACTGGTCGATTCTACGGTCTAGGTGTGTGTTCCCAGTCAGCCTTTAATCGTACACTAGATTAGCCCAAACGTTTGGGCTTGAGATTTGTTTCTGAGAGCAACCATCTAAAATGTCTGAGCAAGCAAGAGGTGCAAAGTCATTTGGAAACACGTCGGTGGTGCTAGGCGTGGATATTTAGCTGTCAACATGGACGGGAATCTTTTGGGAAGAGGTTCAGGGAGTATTTTGTGCACAATGATGAGTAAAGGAAATGCCATTCTGCAGACAGGCAGGCCTGTTTGTTTACCCAACACTAGCTTGCCCTGGATCTGCACAAGACAGATGCAAATCACACGGCGGGGCTTCCTCCGGAGACTCCCTGCATGTTAGTGAGCATCTACATGTGTGTCATTTCACTTCTTTGTTGCAAGATGAAGTGTGTAATACAATGAAAACCCGCAACGCAGTCTTCGGTCATGTTTCATTAGAGCAGGGAAGGGGGTTGATGGGGGGGGTGGGGGACGATGCCAGTCCAGTGAGACATCATCAAGTGCACCGAGATTTTCCTCTCTGGAAGATCTCAGGAAATGTTTAAAGTCATTAGGAGTGGAATGAGCTGGATTAACGCTGATGGCGGTATCTTTAATTAAACTTAAGTAAATCTTTTTTTAAGAAAAAGAGCATTCCTTGTGTGATTACAATTCACAAATGGGGGCTATTATGGGGTAATCTTAGTTTTATCCTCCTCTAATCAAAGGGACAGTTAGATCTCGCAGCAGAAAGACTTTTTTTTTTTTAAAG